ATAACATACCTCTACCGGTAGGCCCTCATCAATTCTACGTGTGACCTCATCTAAGAACACCAGCAGATTTGTCAGACAAGATCGCTTTTCCAGGAATCCGTGCTGAGCTGATACCAACAGCCCGCTATTGACCATGTAGTAGCATATTTTTCTTCTAACTAGGCGCTCCAAACACTTACATATTACTGATGTCAAAATTACGGGTCTGTAATTGTCGGCTTTTTGCCGGGATCCAGACTTGTGTATTGCCACTACTGTGGCTTTACGCCAGTCGTTCGGGACAGTTCCCAGTCTAAGCGACTCTTTAAATAACTCGAAGATCGGTCCTACTATGACATCAGCCAGCGGTTGCACAATCGCTGGGTGAATTCCATCAGGCCCCGCCGCCTTGAACCTATTTAGCTCTGCTAACTCCTGTTGCACATCCTGAATTTCCAAAATGATTGCGGGGATCGTGCAGTTACCTTCGATTGATGGAAGGTTTTCTGTCACCCTGAGGATCCTGTACGTGCTTTTGAGGAACCGTAACAGAATACGTGCTCTATCGCCTTCACTCGCCGCTAACTCTCCGGTCGACGATTCCAGAGTACCAACCGTTTCCCGAGTGTTGCGCTTAGATTGAACATACGCGTAAAAACACTGAGGATTTCACCTGACGTTTTGCGCCAAGTTTCTCCCAAATTGGTATTCGGCCTCTCTTTGCACTTTCTGTGCATTGTTGTGCGCTTGTTTGTAACCATTCCACGACTGATGGGTGCCCACCGTCTTCTATGAATGGTTATAGCCCTATATATATTTGCTTTTCACCAAGAAGGCCGTTGCTTCTTTCCTAACGGAACCAAGGGCGCGAACCTATCCGTGAGTAGGAGAAGTCCTGTCTTTATATGGCTCCATCTGGCTTCCCGAGATGCATCAGCTGGGTTGTGTACCCAGTTTATATCCTGCGCCGTTCTGGCCAGTTATTGGTTGATTTTATTATATCACCTCCCCAGTTTGGCCGCTGGATTGTTGTGTCTGCTTTCTAGCGTTAGTCGCAAGACCACATGATCACTTTTCCCTGGGGGCTCCTCCTGGATTATTGTCCTTACGTCTCCAGGGGTTCTGGTGATCACCAGATCCAGTATGACGACCTGTCACTTGCTCTAAAACGGGTGGCTTGACGCATGTGTTGTGATAAGCGTGCTGATGTAGCCACTCTAAAATCAGTCCACCCCCGGTACCTGCTGATGCTTTGTCTCTACTCCAGTTGATCTCGGGCATGTTGAAGTCTCCTACTAACAACACCCTTCTGGACGTGGCAAGAAATGATTGCAGCTGAGCAATCAATTCCTGATCTTCTGTCTCAGTCGCCTGCGGAGCCCGGTAGACGCACATGAGGGCTAATTAGTAGCTGTCTATTTTAACTACGCAACTGATGGCTTGTAATTTGGGAGTCACTAGGGCTGCCACTGCCTCCCACTGCGTGTGATTTGACTTTGTCATTATCATAACCCCACCCCCTTGCCTGCCATCCACCCTATCTTGTCTATAAATCGTGTAGTCATCATTCCCCGGGGTGATATGGTGCTTCCGCATCCAGATTTTAGTTATGGCGACGATGTCTATTTGTGGGATGCGCCGTTGCACCTCTTGCCACTTATCCCGTACGGTGCAAGCATTGGTGTACCACTCTGAGACTGTGTCTGCTTGCGCATACCTGCTGGGTCGCGAGCTCATTTCTGGAGGATCCTCGAGCGTAATATCCGAGGAGTTAGTCCGTGTTTTTTGGGGGGTGGGAGGGAGGGGATTACGGATGTGGTCGTGGCTTCTTCTACTTCCCCAGCCATTCCACTTTTCTCCCTGGAAATGACTTTTATCGTCATTCCAAAAGCCTCCTCTACCCCTATAGGTACATCCTCCTTCATTTTTGGAGTACTTAATCTCCGTTGTAATGGGAGAGCTGGGGACCGAGTAGCTATTGGGGATTTCGCTACTATTGTAGCCCATGTGGCTGGTTCCTCACAGCTCACCGTGGTTTCCTTCTCCGGACTGGTAGCTGCAACCAAGTTCTTTGGTTGCGGTGCTCTGTCCTGTGTCGTGGCCGGTTTGACCTTGCCTTGCGGACCACGGAGGACGTATAATAGCCTTTGCCAATCGAGCGTCCAGATTATTGTGTTGTCGGCGGGTGTTCTTGGCGTCCAACACTGCGTTGTCTAAGTTTCTTTAGCCAGGTTCTCACAGACGAGCTGGAAAAGAGAAAACATAAGAGATGTCCTCTCGCCTAGTCGGCGAGAGACCTTAGTTTTCTGAAACATGCCAGTTTCAAGCGCAGTTTTAGAAGGTCTAATTCCATAGTTCGGGGCTGCAATTTACCCGGCTCTCAGTGATGATACATTACCACCTAACCTCAGAGAACATTTCCGGCCAACTCGCATCCAGTGACGCCTTGAAGTTGTGCACATTAGTGCAGTTGATCACTCCACCGGGTAACCTGTTCCACATAAATATGTTCCTATGTGCGAAGAAGTTGGCCAAGACCTCTAACCTAGCATGTTTCTGTTGGAGCTTAAAGCTATGACCCCTCGTATTTTGAGCAGGAGAAGCCGTAAACAAGTCATCTGCATGAAGTCCTGATAGCCCTCTGACTATTTCAAAGGTTTCTATCAGGTCTCCTTGCAGTCGTCTACGCTCCAGGGGAAAGAAATTTAGGTCTCCCAATCGCTATTTGTAGCTTGTCCCCTTTTGCCCAGCTACCGTTCGGGTAGCAAGTCGTTGCACCTTCTCCAGGCATGCTGTATCATTTCTATAGTATGGTGCCCATGCCTAAACACAGTATTCTAAGTGTGTGTGTGTGTGGGGGGGGGGAATTACTGCTTTGTAGATACGTATAAAGACCTCTGCGTTTCTACGTGTAAGGGCACCACACAGTCTGAGGAGCTCACCACAAGCCTTATTAGCTGCATTCAGACGTTGTGTTTCGGACTTGAAACTCTTCGTGCGAATGACTCCCAAGTCCTTAACTGCCTTCATGTGCTGCAGTGCCAGCTGCCCGTCCCTAACGGTATCTGCTCTTGCTGTTAACAGATGGCACTTTTCGAGATTTATTGGTAAGTCCCACTGAAGCCACCATTGTCTAACCGCTTCTAAATCGAACGCGTTCGAATAGGACGTGGATACCAGGTTACTCGTTTTAGCTGTTTTTGGTTTATTCTGTTGCCTGTCACATCCCACTGTTAAATTCTTTTCTATTAATGTAGTTCTAAATTGTGCTTTAGCGTTTGTTCATATAACAGTTTTATGTCCATTAATAATTAATACCGCAGCTAACGCCTGACCTGTTCTAACGATCTAACCTAACGCTTCCCTGACATCCGGACTGCGTTACATCATAAGCAGTTATAACAAGTTATCGCTACTACAGTAGCAATAACCTTTCTGAAACCCCCCCCACCTAAATCTCTATTCCCTCGCTCTACTATCACGCTACGACACCCTGTAGATCGTCCAAAGACCCGAACTAGTAGACGAGTACCCAAAATCAGTCTGTCTACAAATCGTCCTAACAATTGTTCCGTCCCCCTAGTTGACATGCTCAGTGATGCTGCCAAAATGACCCCAAGATCGATAGCACCATCAAAAATCTCAACAGTAGGCTGAAGGCCTTAGAACTGGTCAGTTCGACTCTAGCCTCATTGGTTTTCCTCATGGACCCCTCCTCCCAACCAATGAGCAACGTCGCCCCATCAGGGTTGTTGCTCAATACCATAGCCTCCGAGATTCTTAAGCGCGTTTCTAACTCCAAAAACGCAGTTGTCTTTAACGTCCCTGACAAAATTCCTTCAGCCCAGATTAAGGAAATAATCTTGAAAGCTTCAAACATGGACCGTAACCCATACAATTGTATCCGACTCCGGAAAAGATACCAAAGGCGCTCCTGCTCCCTTCTTTTCCAATTCCACAGTGACCTCGAGGCCCAAGAGTTCATTTCCAAACGAAATGATGTTGCAAGAACCACCACATTCAAAGCTATTAAAATATATCCCGATAGTGCCCCGCTACAGAGAGCTACTCGGAATACAACTCAAGGAAACTCTCAAAAGCTCAGCCCCCCGCATTAGCCAATGCCAGTCCCACCCGAAATAAATTACCTGTACCCTATGAAGCCCCCAGAACCGGGGCTGAGGCCACATCTCCAATCATCGATCTTGATGCTCTTCAATATCCCTCTCCTGAACATCCACCACCCAAACGTCCAAAAAATACAC